ATTTGTATATGTTTGAACATATGTTTGAATTGCATCTTTATTGTTATTTGTTATATTGTTGTTGTGTTGGTTTCTCTGTTTCTTTGTTGGGTGGGTGTTGCTATGAGGTAAAAGGCCTAATACCCATGCCAATTGGAAACCACAGAAACACTAGGAATAAAGTGGAACATGAACGACTAGTTGACTTAGGTTTCACTATGACGCCATGTCTTCCACGCTCAGATGAGGTATAAATGAGGGGCTATCATTTTCACGTAGGTGATATGGCGATAGTTTTTCAGGAGCACCCTCGATTCTGAGTTACCATTGACCTTACCATGACATAGTCTTTACCCGTGAGTGGGGAGGGAATAATCTTTACAGGTACAAATGGTGACTATACATGTTTAGTTGGTAACTCTGATTATACTGATCACTTTGATCCTTTGTATACTGAATTGGTCCGGACCTTTGATCTTATTGCATATGACAGTGGTTCTGTTATTAGTTCAACAGTTATCTAGTACCGCAGAATCTTTGATCCCATATGTTTGCATACATAGCATGTTAATATAATTATCAGCATACATGTTCCTTTTTTTTTTGTTTCCAAACATTACTTCCTTGATTCCAATTGTTAAGACGAAAAATAAACATTAAAAATAATATATAATAAATACATGAAAAAAGAATATATAATAACATTGTAGCTTAATAACTGGAATCAAAGTGTATGAAATTGCGAAAATAAGAATATGGAATTTGTATTGCATGTCATGCATCATGTTACATTTGACTATGCATTTCATGAGTTCCATAGAAGTCTTACCGAAGGTCCTTTGGTCATTTGAATTAAGTTGTCTCATCAGTATAACACTCGTGCTTAGGGAAGATGGAAAGCATTAAGCAAGAGATCGTTGAACTCTGCAAAGAGGTAGCTACTTTGAAGGCTGATATGGAATATCTAACTGCTTTGGTTAAAACTTTGGTTGCCGCCCAAGTCAATCCTTCTAGGAAGGAAGAAGAGATGGAAAAAGTCTTCACAGAAACTCTGAAATCATTCTTTCATGAGAAGGTGATAGTCAATGTACCCGGTGAGTTCCCAGAAAAGGCGAATGTGAGAGTGCTTCTAGAAGAGTATGTCTGAAAGGAATGTTTATCTAAAGATAGTGGCACAACTAGTGGTGTGAAGAAGTTTGACAATAACTTTTCCAAGAAGAGAACTAGAGGAAGAAACAGTTCGTGGCTTATAGTCAAGATCAAGGGGAAGTTTATCTGATTCTCCATCAAATGGTATCTCTTCGAGGAAGTTTCACAAGAGAAGTTTGTTGAGAAATCTTTACAAGTGGTAGTCTCTTTATTTGAGATCGCTTGTATTTTTACCCTTTCCAGGTTAAATATCTTTGTTAAAGAAGAAACTGAGACCGGTTCGTGGCTTATAGTCAGGATCGAGGGGATGTTTATCTGATTCTCCATCAAATGGTATCTCTTCGAGGAAGTTTCACAAGGGAAGTTTGTTGTGAAATATTTACAAGTGGTAGTCTCTTTATTTGAGATAGCTTGTATTTTTACTCTTTCCAGGTGAAATATCTTGGTTAAAGAAGAAACTGAGACCAGTTCGTGGCTTATAGTCATGATCGAGGGGAAGTTTATCTGATTCTCCATCAAATGGTATCTCTTCGAGGAAGTTTTGCAAGAGAACTTTGTTGTAAAATCTTTACAAGTGGTAGTCTCTTTATTTGAGATAGCTTGTATTTTTACTCGTTCTAAGAAGAACGCCAAGATTTTGGGAAGTTCATTATTGTTCTTTGAGATGTCACCTTCAGTAAAAGCTGGTGCATTCTTTTTTTTCCACCTTCAGTAAACGTCGGTGTATCTTCTGTTTCTTTACCTTCAATAAAAGTCAGTATTGTCCTATTTTTTTTCTACCTCCATTCTTGAGCAGGTAGTTCAATATCGTTCTTAGGTAAGATTGATCTTTTCTGGTTAGCGATTGCCGATCCCTTGTGTTGATGTTACTCTTTTTTTTGCTATCTCCTCTATGAGTGGATAGTTCACAGCTATCGGTTAATTGTTGCCATCCATTACTTTTCCCTCAGTTTTTGAGTTTATGTTATTTTGTTTCCTCTCGGGACCTTACCCCAGTAAAGTTGAGTTTTCTACTCCCCAGCGGAGCCAATTTGTCTCCAATAGATTCAGATGTTTGTTCCCAGAGTCATGTTGTTCCCTAGAGATTTATTTTTCTTAGGTCGAGTTCTTTTTGTTAAAGTCCATTGATTTTATTTTCATTTCTCCAGTGTGTGTCTGGCCCATCTGCATGAAGTTTATATGTTACATCCATAATCATAAACATCGCATGGCATCTTAGGGCAAAAAATAGGGCTTGTTTTATATTTAAGTATCTTCAATCGCGTCGAAACAAAGATTTTAATCTTCGTATCTCTGGATAGAAGACACATAAATAAGGGCAGCTGTTATACCCCAATTTTTGTCCCTGAGATCCCTCATCATGCTCTGTACATCTCACACATAGCATTGGTCCCATGGTTACAGGATCGAAGAGCTTTGACATTAGAGTTTCTCTCTATGAATTGAGTTTTCTATCTTACTCAAAATTGATTCAACTGGCACTCTCATTATTTTTGGTATGAGATTCTGGATTTGGATTTCAATCAGCATAGATGTCTTTGCTATCTGGTTTCCTCAAGATGTAAATTTTTCTTCATCAGAGTTCTTTCAAGGACAAAGGCATTAGGGTTTAACTCAGCCAGAGAATCAGGATTTCTCTTCATTTTATTTGAGCTTGGTAGTGATTCTTCTATATAGGTTTATTGAATTAATGTCTCACTTCAAGGCTACATTGAGCACTACTCTTCCCTTGTGATACCATTTGTTACATGGTTAACGATTGATTGAAGATTTCATCAAGATGATTCTTGGTGCTTAATCTGTGAATTAAGGTAGGATTATTTCCTGAATTCTGATTAAATTGAAGATCCAGATTAAGGGTTTCCTTAGAGCTAATTTTAAGATTCATTCAAGAGATTCCTTTAAGCCCAGATTAATTCAAGAAAATTCATATAATGGTTTGTGTGGAATACAAAGTTGGTGTTTCAAATATCATTCAAAGCCAATGCGAATCCAATTTCGTCTTATGAGAATTTCTTTAAAGGAGAATTACTTGAAGTTTAGGACATTTCTCATTCATTCTAATTCTATTCAATTTCCTTTCAAGTGAATATTTTAGCGTAATTTGTCAAATGGATTTATATTTTAAAGATAGAAGACTTGTTCAAGACTTAATTCAAACATCATACTGGTACGAATACAAACCCTTCGTCATACATTATTTGGGATGCCAAACCTCATGGTTCATTCTATCTTGCAAAATCAAAGAAAATATTTCAAAATTTTTAATGCAAATTAGAGGAAACTTTGTTCATTAGTATCCTCAAATCATTACAAGTGGAAATACTAAAAAAAAGAGAGAAGGAATTGCAAGACAAAGTTTCTCTTACAAGGCAAAAAGAAACCATTTCAATACACAAAAGTAAAAGATACTATTAGTTCTCCTGGAGAACATGTTAACTCGGAGTCGAAAATAAACAGATTGGTGAAAATTGATCCCGTCGGAGGAAGCTGGGGACTGCGTTTTCTCAAACTTGAGCTATCTCATCCAACCAATATTGTCTTTATGTCTTTTTCAAACTGGAGAACAGTAAGGAGGACAATCATTTATCTGATCAGGATGTTACAGGTTACTCTACAGACATCATTTATGGACATGCTGCTGCCAGATCCACTGACATTTGGCTTCAGGCTTGTTAAAGATGGTCTTGAATCAAATAACCCTGATCCTGGTAAAGAATCTGATTTGCCTGAATCCTTCCCGAATCCCGTGCTCATCCAATGCACCTCATTAGTCTAAACCAGAACTGAACACTTCAGCTGTGCACTTCTTTAAGCAGCCTGCATCAAATAGCCAGATAAAATCCAAATTGGACCCTTCATAATCAAAAAAATAAGCTTGTTGTCCAAATCGAGCCTCTTAATTGTCTTCTAACCGACTGACTATAACAAATAAAACTAACAAATATTATTCCAAAACCTTAACTAACTACCTCACTTTAGCTTAACTAACTATTAAGACTATTAGGTCGTAACCGTTTTTTTTAAACTAACTTTCATAACAGTTCAAACAAAAAAGTTAACAGAACTTAACCAACTAACAAAACTCTAAGTTCCAAAACAGAAACCTCAAAAAAAACTCTCTAACATATTCCATAATCCCTAACTGCCAACTCCTAACAGTTAACAAACTTCCTAACAAACTTCTCAATAGGATATAACAGAAAACAAAAAGAGGAGGAGAGAGGATTATTCATAACAAAAAATTCAGTGGAAAACTCACCAAAAACAAACTCACCAAAAAATCTGAAAATATCTCTACAAGTTTCGATTGAGTTCAGCTTCTTCAGCAATCAAAACCTTCACTCCCCATCCTCCATCGTTCCCTTCATTCTGCAATCTCTCTTCATGGTTCTTCATTCATAAAATCACAACCTTCAACCACCAACTTCAATCCTCTCAGAGTTTTTTTCCCGCGATGTCGCTTCGATCATCATATTCGAACTCCTCTACACTTCATTATCTACATCACATAGAGTCTTTGATCTTCATTTTTCTTTGTAACTGTTTCCAGAATCTTTAATCACCATCAACACAACCTCTGAAAAACAGATTCATCATCTTCAATCTGCAATCGACATAAACATATCACTGAGTTCTCAAGAACAACAACAACACACGAATTTAACGACAATGATTCTGCAGAAATTCACACAGTGAATATAAACAAGAAGGCAGTGACACGCAAATCGAAGAGAGAAGATGACCATGTGCATTACCTGAATTGAATCTTCTCTGATTTTCTTATCATTTTCATCAATTTGAAAATAGCTGGTGAAACTCCAGCCGGTACGTATCTCGTTCCCTTGCAATTTTTGCTTTATTTTTATAGTCTAAAACATAGGGGATAAAATCTGAAAAACGATAACGTTGAAACTATGAAAGCAAGAACGGAGGTGAGCGGCGATGTTGATAATGTTTCGAGAAGAAGATGAGACAGAGCTCGACGAAGAGAATTGAATCATGGATGAGACGGACGAGTTGTGAATTGAAGAGTAAAAGAATGTAGAACAGATGTTATAAAGAGGTTGAAATGATGAGGTTAGTCGCGGAGGGAAGGTGGAGATCATCGGGGAAGAATATTGAGTGGAGGTTTACAATGCCACTTGTGGAAGAAGAAAGAGGGAGCGAAATATTTTTGAGGGATCTGAAAAGCCACAAACTCAAACCCTAAACAACAACGGAAACGTTTGCTTCTCTCAACTATTTTTATTTGTATTTATTTTCTTTAATTTCATTATAAATCAATAAAGATTTATGTTGAATAATGTTGAAAAGTTGGTGGATTGGTGTTGTTGACTGGACCGAATCCCAAATCCCTTTGCATCGGCCCATAATTTTTTTGACATGTTACAAAGATCAAAACAAAAACTATTATTGGACTTCATTATGAAGTGGGCCTAGTGCCCTGCTTCTACATACCTTTAGAAATAGCTTAACACCCCCATGAACTCTTTACATTTTAATTTTATTTTTCTTTACCAATTTTCTTTTATTGGCCTTTGTTAATTCTTATTTCATGAAAAAATAACCTAAAAAGTAGTTAGAATATTTTAGGAAATATGTTAGAATTCTTAGGTTTTCTCTTTAGAATTTTCTATTATTACTTTTATGTTTTGTAATCATTTTTGTTGCCATTTTTGGCCAAGATTTTGTGATAGAATGTCGATGTAACGTTGGTAATATGGAATGTTTGGAGATTAATTCTTTGATCACTCATGCGAAGAAGTTTCTATAGAGTTTTCTTATCGCTTGCATAGTTTTGAAGAGGCAACTTACCTCTCAGTTAGCTCGCGTGAAGAATTCCGAGTCTCTCTCCTTTGGTTGCGCTTTTTGCGGACTTTACTGTTTGTTTGGTATTATACTGCTTCCAAGTTATACTTCCACATTTATTGCTTTCTAGATATCATGAGAAGTAGGAAATAAAGATCGTGTGCTGGAAGTCCCTGTTTAAAGACCTGTAGCAGGCATTCCGCACTTCATTTACTATATGTGTTGTGCTTGTGTTTGTTTCCTTTCTTGTTGATCGATGAGTCACTCAATTTAGAAATTGAGATCACGAATTCGCTCTCAGTGCATGCTCCCTATAGGATTTTATCGCTTTCCTTTACTTCTTGATTGATCGATGAACTCAATTTAGAAATTGAGATCACGACTTCGCTCTCAGTGCATGCTCCCTATAGGATTTTATCGCTTTCTTTTATTTCTTATTGATCAATGAGTCACTCAATTTAGAAATTGAGATCACGACTTCGCTCTCAGTGCATGTTCCCTATAGGATAGTTTGTTAGACTTTTTTTGGCATGCTAACTTAGATAGGATCCCTCATTGTATGATAACATTAGGTTAGAGATAGGTTAGTCTCCCTTAGATGTTCTCTTCCCATTTTTGCATGATTGCATTTAAAACTAAAACTTCTTTTTCTTGGCAAATGTATAATAAAATTCTAAGCATACAAAAAATTCTTTTCATGGTAAAAAAATACCAACCAATCCATCTCTTTTCGCCATTCAGCTTTTCTCTTCTAAGAGCATGTTAGCTCCTTTCCACTACAGGTCGTAAGTCTCCAAAGGTCGAGCAACGGTGGAATGATCGAATGCAACATAGTGTTTTTCTAAAGCTTGGATCTTGTCCTGACACGGTTAAGTGTATGAACTCAGAACCAGGCGCTCTGACGCCAATTGAAGAAGTGAAAAACACAAGAAGGGGGGGGGGGGGGGGGGGTTGAATTGAAACTTAAAATCAAAAGCACAGTTGACATGATATTTTTATCCTGGTTCATTTGATCTCAAACTACTCCAGTCCACCCGCCAAGGTGATTTCGCCTCTCTCCAACGAGGACTTAATTCACTAATCAAAACTGATTACAACATAACTTTGACAACTGCCAAAGTCTTCTTGAGTACAACCATAACCCGATTTATCTCAAGGAAAACTGGCTTAATCCCAATAAAATAATCTACTGTGTACTGTTGTTTTTCCTTACAAAAACTGTATCACTACTGTGATATTTTACACAATTTGAGCGTATATATGAATATGTAAGATTGAAGCGTTTTAGAGGTATTTGCAGTAGTGTAACAAAATCATAAATGATTTGTCCTCTAATCTTATTTATATAGGCGTGGAAATCTTGTCCAACATAAAGCGTGATAATGGATATTCAATGCTATTTCCATATTGAGAAGATTCTTGTCTGAATGAAGTCGTTGCATATGATGCTGTTTTAATTGAAAAGTAACGCTTCAGAACTGGAATCTTGCATGCTGCTATTGCTTCAGAACATTGATGACTCAGAGATGTGAGGATCTGATGTTATATTAAACTTTTGTTCAGAATCAGAGTATTCTTCACTTCAGTGCAGATTCTGATCATCATTCTTTAGAACATTCTGATTACCTCAGCTTGAAAGCTTTTGTAGCTTAGTTTCTGATGTTGTTTTAGTCAGAACTTCTGCATACAAAATAACACAAGTTTAGAGTGCATATTTGTTCTTTGTGTTTGTTATCATCAAAAATCTAATTAAGGGTTGTAGAATTAAACTATGTTCTAACAATTCTATCTCATGATGGATCATATAATCAAATAAAGCTACCATAACCCGTTGATAGGTTGCGCCTACATTCTTCAAACCGAAAGGCATGACCTTATAACAGAAGGTGCCCAACTGTGTAACAAAAGTTGTTTTCTCCATCTCTTTGGGTGCCATTTTGATTTGGTTGTAACCGGAGAATCCATCCATGAAGGAGAAAACTTTGTGTTGAGAAGTATTTTCGACCATGACATCAATATGAGGTAGTGGGAAATCATCTTTGGGGCTTGCGCTATTCAAATCCCTGTAGTCTATACACATATGGACTTTACCGTCTTTCTTCGGTACTGGAACAACATTTGCCACACATTGAGGGTATGACGTCACTGCCAAGAAACCTGCACTGAATTGTTTCATTACCTCAGCTTTTATTTTCTCATACATATTTGGCTGCATGCGACGAACCTTTTGCTTGACCGGAGGACAATCTTCCTCCATTGGAAGATGATGAACTACAATATCAATATCAAGCTCCAACATATCTTCATATGACCAAGCTAACACTTCAACATAGTCGTGTAACATATGGACCAATCTTCTCTTGACATAGTCTATCAAGTTGGTGCCGATCTTGACTTCCCTCTTGTCTGCTTCATTACCTAGGTTGATCACTTCAATTGGTTCTTCGTGCGATTGAATGACCTTTTCCTCTTGCTTAGAAGTCTGGCTAGTTCCCCAGGTATTTCACAATCTTCATCACCTTCACCTTCGACTTGATAGATTGGATTTTCAAAGTCATAGATGGCAATAGAAGAGTTGTTGTTAATGAGATCCGGAGTGGATGTGGATCTGCAAATGTGTGTGTTTGTTTGTAAGATCACATGGTTTTTTTTGAAAATGCAATTAAGTAAAGAAAGACAAAGGGCCTAAGTGTGGATGTTATTCCCTTCCAATTGGTAAAACCACTCCAACTGCGTCCCAAATAGACTTTCTTGATAAATGTGCACCCGCAGTTTCTTATCAGTAGTATGCAGATGAATTTTGTGGACATAAGATCTTAGGTGAAGCTTCGGACATGAGATACCATCGTATTTGGCAAAAGAATGGATTTTGAATTTGTGGGGAACGACTACCCCAAGAACCAAACCCATGTCTCTGAAATCCAAACCAGGCACAACTTGGATTTTCACAGCTTTCAATATGTCTTCTAGTTGCTTATATTTGTCGTCGGCCAATGGGTATTGCTCATCAAAATAATCTTCTTCTTCAGAGATTTGATTATTTCCACCCTCGGCATGGGTGCTCCTAGAATCTTCATCTTGATTCTCGTCTTCCTCAGAGGAGTCTTCTTCAACTTGAACTTATCGGATGGGACCTTTGAATCTCTTCCCCAAGTTTATTACATCTTTCTTCTTGATTTTCATCTTCGTGACAAGAAGTGACATCATTTCTTGCTTCCCCTTTGCTAAGTTGAGCATAGTTTCTTGAAACTGAGAGTTTTGAGTATGCAAGTCCTTCAGGGTTTGCTCGAGATCCATGTTGTACTGAAATAAATAGTAGAAAGATGAGGAAACCTGTGTCAGAAAACCTTCTTATGATATGATGCATGTTATGCAAATGCAATGTTCTCAAGGATTCTATGGAATTTAAATTTGCTAGATAAAGAGAAGACAACAAACATCAATTTCATTATTAAGTTCATAAATTACAAATGTCTCTCTTGGGATTACAATGGAAGAAGCAAAAATAAAACAAAATAAACTCCTAAAACAAGAAGGACTCAATCTTCCCATGTACACATCCACTTTGGTGCAATGTAAGCATTCAGGATTTGCTCTTCATGAAGTTTCCTCCCGAGCTCCAAAACCTTCTTCTCGCTTGCATAGAATTGTACTTCAAAGGTATATCGTTCCCCTGTGTGATACGGTGGCAGAACCGACTGTTAATAGTGGTTTGCGTTTTTTATTCGCAAAATGTCGCGGTAAGCAAGAGTCGCCACCGACTTTTATTTCATCCAACAAAGGAAAAGGAAAAAGAACAAAAAAACCTTTTTCGAGATGTTTCTGAGTACGGGGGGTAGATTATAGACTGGGAAGGTGTTAGCACCCTTTCTATCCATGGTTTTCCATGGGCTCTTAGGTACTTGCTCATATTTTTAAAATTGCTTGTGTGTGTGTGCTTGCTTTGAAAATGTTTTACTTCGTGATAACCCTTGTATCAGTCCTCAAGGATGTGACGAAGTTGTTTTGAAAATTTGTTTTGAAAGGTGTTTGTGAGAACAATTTTTATTGAGCAAGTACTTAAGATTCTACCTACTCGAAAAAATATTGTTCGTTCTATTTCCTTTAGACAGCGCTATCCCACTATTAAGGAGTAGGTAGCACAGTCGTTGGAGTTGTAAGGGACATTCGAAAGGGACAAATATAATCACTAAAGCAGTAGTTAGAAAACTTTAGTAATAACTCTAGAGTCTTAAGATCTTTTCGAGGCAATGTTTCCGAGGCAATGTTTCCGAGGCAACATTCGAATGGGACACTT